CTCAAACTTTTCTTGTATGGTAGTAAAGGTTGTTTGTCAACTTGGCTGAGCTGTGGTTTTGAGTGGCTTGGAAGCTGGACGTAGTTATTCCCCATGATGAGACTGTAAATTTCCTCCATGGTGTAATCTGCTGTGAGCAGCTAAGTAGTTGAAAGGGAGTTCCCTTCACGGTGTGGCCTGTTTCAGTGTATATGGAAAAGCTTTCAAAAAGGTCTCCAGCTTTTTGGCACATTTTAGATCCTACACTTGGCCGAGTCATCATCTCTAGTGTCTGGACTTGAATAGCAGCCTGCCATGTTGCCTGCCGATCTTGAGATTGTTTCTGGACTTGAGCCAGTGGCCTGTCATGCTGCCTGCTTATGTTGGGATTGTGCCATTTTACCTGGCAATCTTGGGTTCATCAGACTCAGCAGCCAGCAGCTGGATGAGTTAGGAGAAGCCTCCAGCTCCAGTGGGCCTTGAACAAAAGGCAGAGCTGAAGCACAAAGTCAAGGGACCTTCACCCAGCTCCTAGAGCCAGCACTCTGAGTTTGGACTTCTAGCCTCCTAAACTGTAAAAGAATAAATTCCTGTTTTTTAAAGCCATCCACTTGTTGTATTTCTGTTATAGCAGGACTAGAGCTAAGACACCTTGTTTTTGAGTTTTGGGAACACTGGTCAAGTGTTTTGTAGAATGTCTCCCAATTGGGATTTGTCTGATGTTTTTCTCATGATTAGGTTGGAGGGAGATCTGCTGGTGTAGTACCTAAGATATGTGATGGCTAACCAGAAGGCTGGCAGTTCAAACCCACCAGCCACTCCTTGGAAGGAAGAGTGGGCAATCTACTTCTGTAGATATACCACCTCAGAAACCCAAGAAGGGGTCACTATGAGTCAGGATCAACTCGACGGCAGTGAGTTTGATTTTGGAGTTGTTGTGTTTTGGGGAGGAATACCACAGAGATAACATGCCATTTTTTTTAATCACATCATATCAAGGGGACATATTATCAACATAACTTATCACTGTTGATGTTGACTTTGATCAACTGATTGAGGTAGTGTGCGCCAGCTTTCTGCACTGTAAATTTACTCCCCCCCACCTCCTGCCACCTTTTCATACTATTGTCTTAGGAAAGAAGCAATTACACATAACCCACACTTAAGGATTTGAGGGTTATTCTGTACCTCTTGGAGAACAGAGTAATTACATATATTATTTAGAATTCTATGGGAGATTTGTCCCTTTTCTTTCCCATTTATTTTATTTAGTCAATCATATATACATATATATACACACATATATATATACACATACACACACACATATACATATATAATATATATTTTTATTTATATATAATATAAATATTTTTTATTTATATATAATATAAATATATATTTGTTGTTGTTGTTGTTATGTGCCGTCGAGTCAAACCCGACTCATAGCGACCCCTCCTTGGGTTTCCGAGGCAGTATCACTACGGAAGTAGGATTGCCCAACCTTCCTTCCGAGGAGTGGCTGGTGGGTTTGAACCGCCAGCCTTCTGGTTAGCAGTCAAGTGCTTTAGCCACTATGCTACCAGAGCTCCCAAATATATATTTATATTATATGAAATATATAAAAATATCCATGAGTCATGGATATTTTTATTTTATACTTTAGGTTATAATCCGACGCTAACTTTATTTTGTTACTCAAATTGATCCAGCTTGGGCCATTGTTTAAGCATCATATTTTATATTTGTTTGTAGCTGAAGTATAGAAATGCAATTGACATTTACCTTTGTATTTATTTCACATTTAGTAACAACCCTACATTCTTACAAAGTCTAATAATTTATCAGGGGATTTTTATAATTTATGCATAAATCATAATTGTTTTGGTTGTTGTTGGCTCAAGTCATAGCAACCCTAAATACAACAGAACAAAACACTGCCTGGTCCCGCACTAGCCTCACAATCCTTGCTATACATGAGCTCATTGTTGCAGCCACTGTGTCAACCCATCTCCTTGAGGGTCTTTCCCTTTTTTACTGACCCTCCACATTACCAAGTGTTATATATGTCCTTCTCCAGGAAATGGTCTCTCCTGACAACATGGCCAAAGGTGAGACAAAGTCTGGCCATTCTGGCTTTCAAGAAGTGTTCTGGCAGCACTTCTTCCAGGACAGATTTGTTAGTTGTTTTAGCAGTCCATGGTACTTTCAGTATTCTTTGCCAACACCACAACTCAAAAGCACCATTCATATTTGGTCTACTTTATTCATTGTCCAGCTTTCACATGCTTATGAGGTGATTAAAAATACCATGGCTTGGGTTAGATGCACCTTGGTCTCCAAAGAAACATCTTTGCTCTTCAGCTGCTTTTCCATTCCTTATAGTTTAGAATTATGTTTTAAAAATACTTGATTCATAGCAAAGATTATATGCAACATATGTGCAAGTTTTAACCATAATAATATAATTCCATCTGTGAACCAGCCTAAAAATGAAAAGTTTATAAATAACTTGTAACTATTACATACCCTTTCACTTTTCTATACTCCAGCTTCAGAATGATAAATTTTGTTTTGCATTCCTATTTTTTATATACAAGTGTACCACTATATGTATATTTCAAACAACAATATATGGTTTAGGTTTATTTATTTATTTATTTGAGCTTTACAAAAATAGTATCATATGCTGTATAGTCTTCTGGAACCATTTTTCCCTTAATGTTGTCATTAAAAATTTTTTCAAATATAAAGATTGAAATAACAGCACAATAAATACCCTACTTTCTATTCAGTATTAACATTGCTAGTATTTTGCCATATTTGCTCCCTCTTCCACTGTCATATGTTTATTTGTAAGGTCCCTCTGTGGGTTTTATTTTGTTTTTCTTTACTTTTGAGGTTATTTTCCCAAGTGCATTCCTTTGGTTTTCAATTTTTTTCTTCTTCTGAGGCTAGCTTTGTATGAATGTTGGCTCTCTTTTTCTGCTCAGTATATATTGTTATGAATTTTCATGGACCATGAAAAATGGTAATCTATGGAGTGGTGATGAGTAGGTAGGGATAACTATTTGTTGGTAGAGTGAAATACAGTTTCTTTAACAAATGCTCTTTTGTGCATTGTGGATGCAAACAGTTTTCTGATTCCCTTATAGCCTTTTGTTTCTGCAGTACATTAACATCCCCCCCTTTTTTTATTAGCAAATGCTATTTGTTTCCTTCTTTCTGCACAACATCAAGACTCCAAGGGACAATTCTGCTCTCTGAGTTGTTTTTAATTCTCTCAGAAGTATTGCCTTCCTAAGAATGAAATTTTCCAACACTAATTTGAGACAAAAAATTACAGATCCAAGAAATTCAAGGAACTCTATGCAATAAAAATGCACACACACCCCAAACCAGGCTGATAGACATCATGGCCATGAAAATAAGACAGGCTGAAAATAAATGATCTAATAATCCATTCTACATTGTTAGAAAATTTATACCAAAGAATGAAGAATATAAAATGAAGAAAATAATGAAGAACATAAATTAGTAAGTGAGAAAACATATATACAATAGAAAGAATCAATAAAGTGGTACATTTGTTTTGGGGAAGACTAATAAAGTTCATAGGGAACCCTGATGATGCAATAGTTAAATGCTAGGCCACTAAACAAAAGGTTAGCAATTTGAACCCACCCATAGAAGAAAGACTTGGACATTTGTTTCCATAAAAATTACAGCTCATAG